TAAGAGTATATGAATAACATTATACAGAACCAGTGGAACTAGCAGGTGTTCAAAGTTACACTGCCAGACAAGAAAACGTCGTACCTGTTCTGGTAGTTTGATGACAGCTCCAGCAGATATCAGTGGTCTCCACATCTCTGTGTGACCTTTTCCAGCATAGCTCTCCCCAGAGGAGAGAGAGAGACCAACCTTCACAAGCAAACAGGAATCATTGGGAGTAAACCAGAACTCACAAAGAGTTTACTGATGAATGATATTAACAAATCAGCGTTGACGTGATTAAAGGCATGTTCCCCACCATAGTCCACGTAGAACTAATCTATACAGTATTTAGCAAGCCAACAACTAGAGTCCCTTTGATACTTATTTAAGATTGCTTGTAGTAAAACAGTCAACTACTTATGACCAGTCGAATACGGGAAGGGACATTAATCATGAGGAGGGGAAAAACAGAATACTGTATGCTCATTGAGCAAACCAGACAGTACTAGTAGGTACAAGGAAATTGGTGTTACGTGTCAGTACCGGTAAGCATGTATTTGTTTCCCTATAGAGTGAACCACAGGCTATTCCGAGTAGGAATGAATGTATACTAAATCATTCGAGCAGAATACGTACACAAGAAAAACAATCCATCCACAAGGCCATCAACCTACCAGCACATGAACTATTCCCCATTCTCACAGAAGCTAGCACTAAATCAGTAGGGAATTAATTATTGTTCCACATGTGTCGGGTCGTACACCTTTTTCAGTGACCTGCAAAACTAAGATGATTACAGACTTTAAAGGAAGCTGCGGATAGGGTTGTGGCCAGAGGAACACAGTTACGTGCGACCAGATGAGTTGATGTTCTGAGGTTGAGGTTTATTGTGTGGGTGTAGTGCTGGTCCCAGAGGTCACTCAGGTAAAGTAATGCTATGCAAGCTCATTCCAACATAATGAAAAATGAGTCTTATAGAATTAACCAAGCTAAATCCTACGAGCAAGTAAATACGTACAAAAAAATAAAACAAAAAGTTAACTAAAAAAAAAAAAAAAAAAAAAAAATAATAAAAAACAATGCTGGGGTGGGGGGGGTGGGTGGCGGGGGGGGGGGTGTGGGGGGGGGGGGGGGGGGGGGGGGGGGGGGTGGGGGGGGGGGGGGGGGGTGGGGGGGGGAGGGGGGGGGGGGGGGGGGTGGGTGGGGGGGGGGGGGGGGGTGCGGGGGGGGGGGGAGGGGGGGGAGGGGGGGCGGGGGTGGGGGAGTGGGGGTGGGGGGTGGGGGGGGCGGGGGGGAAAAAACAACAAAAAAAAAAAAAAAAAAACAACATACAACACTAAAAAAACAAAAAACAACAAGACAAAAACAACAAAGGGGGGGGGGGGGGGTGGGGGTCGGCTTTCTTCTTGTGGGGTGGGTTCCTCCTGTTAAAAAACAAAAAAAAAAAACCCATAAACAACACCAAAAAAAACAAATATCCAAAAAACAAACAAACATTCAAACAAAAAAAAAACAACAAAACAAAAAAAAATACCCCAAAAGACAAAAAAAACAAACCAAATTAAACAACAAAAAAAAAAAAAAACATAACAAAACAAACAACAAACAAAACAACACCTTCAAAAAAAAAAAAAAAAAAACAAAAAAAAAAACCAAAAAAATATCCACCACAAGTCTATTTAAGCTTCAACCATCCAGACATGAAACTATTCCCCATTCTCAAAGCAATAATATCAGTGGGGTCATGCCACCAAGGAATTTCTTTGCATTATGCGTCATATGTTGTAAGTCCATTTCAGTGTTAGGCTTCGGCTAAGCCCCGAGAAAAGCATCAGATTGGAAAAAAAAGAGACTTTATCATGTTAGTTAGGTCTATGTATAAAAATGTTGCTTCTGTAATTCTGCCAAAAATGTTCCTCTACTTCTTCATTCGAGTGATGGTCTGTGGCATAACAGACAGTAAGTGTATTTGGTTGCTTTTTTGGGGACTAGGCCCCCTTTCATGTGTCTAGGACTGCCAAGGCCTGACAATGTGGGTGACTGATCACTGAGGCATAATGCAGGGTTGCAGCCGACATGAACTGTGCAGTTTCTGTACACAACTGTTAGACTCCTACGCTACATATATTTACACCTGTCCAGTGTTCTCTTTGCACAATGCACGTGATCACATGCTGCTCAAAGGGCTCTGTAAGGTACGAGTGAATACATAAAACCCTGTTCCTCGACTCACTATACAAAGCGGGATACTTTTCATAATTGATCGGTATAACCAGGTCTCTTGTAAACGGGTATAGTGTGAGGACAATGGTAAAGATTTGTAGATGGCAAGAACGCAGCATTGTAAAACTACAGTGAGTTAGAGGCCATTAATTAACCTTCATGCACATGGACAATGTCTCGGGGGGTGCAACAACATGAAAGTGCAAAAACCTAATTTAGTGCTACTGATGGCTATCTGCTTTTAAAAACATATCTACGTCGTTGAGCCACCGATACCTAAAATAGGTTTAAATGTTATTGCACACAATATGTCTAAGTAACAATCGACCAGAATTGATGTGCTAATATACCTATACTCTGCCGCAGGCATCAGATATTACATGAAAGGTCTGGAGTGTGTGTATGCATCTCCTTCTCTATGTTACCCCACAATGTGGGGAGCCAGGATATTGAGGATAGTATGATTGTAAGTGACCTAGACTCCGTTGACAGCAACACACCCTCTCCCTTGCAAAGGGAATTGAGGTTGTGTGTGGATTAGTACTGTACTACCTACTGCTGTGTATAAATGTTATGGCACAATAGCAGGTAAACAAGCTAATCATATTTTTAACACAAGCTATACCTCGACCAGAATCTGCTATTAGATGTTATATGAAACATGAGTATGGGCTCCAGTGTTTGCCTTCCTACTGCAGTATCAGTGGAGAGGTAACACTTACACGGCTTAGACTAACTAGAGTAATCGTAGTTCTCGGAGCAAGAATAAGATGCGTCAAAATCACGCAAATTTTGCATTCTAAGGTACTTCCACACTGATAACACCTGCACAGTGTGAACATAAGAAGTATGCAGTAATGTGAAGTATAGTGTTTTGCTCTCTGGGATCCACAACATCTCTCCACACATTGTGTTAGAGCCACCCGCCATCTCTGTCTGAATGGAGAGAGCAGTACATATCCCTCTGTCAGCACAGCAGTATGCTGCCAGCGAAGGTCTTCCATATACAGATTATGCCGACAAACATACTTTGAAGGTTTTGATACAATCATCTTGTGTGTCAGAAAGTACATGGCAGTGGGATTTAGGTCGTGGACACACAGAGCACGGGGGAGAGGTAGTGTTGTACCCAGTCTCCCTCTGTAAAGTGAGGGGAGCCAGTGGATATTAATTAGAGTAGTATGATTGTAAGTGACCTAGACTCTGTTGACAGCAACACACACCCTCCCTTGCAAAGAGAATTGAGGTTGTGTGTGGGGCATTGTCAAGAGACCTGGTTATACGCGATCAGATATGAAAGTATCCTCGCTTTTGTAGAGTGAGTCGAGGAACGAGGGTTTTATGTATTCATACGTAACTTACAGAGCCCTTCAAGGCAGCATGTGATCACTGCATTGTGCAAAGAGAACACTGGACAGGGTATATATGGTAGCGTAGGAGTCTAACAGTTGTGTACAGAAACTGCACAGTTCATGTCTGGCTGCAACACTGCATTATGCCCAGTGATCTAGTCACCACATTGTCAGGCCATTGGCTGTCCTAGGACCATGCAAGGGATCCTAGTACACATAAAAGGGATCCTAGTCCAAAACAAACCCAACAAAACACACTTACTGTCTGTTATGCCACAGACAACAACTCGGAATGACTGCAATAGAGTTGCATTACACACTGGATTAGTACTGTACTACCTAGATGGCTGATGTATCTGCCGCGAGGAAACCTCTTTGTCAGATATTACAGCTGACAACATTTTTATACATAGAACCTAACTGACAAGATAAACTCTCTCTTTTTCCAATCTGGTGCTTGTTCTGAGGCTAGCCAAGATGCCATGGCGACTTTCGTAAGCATAACTCTGAAATGGACTTACATATGACGTCATAATGCAAAGAAATTCCATTGGTGCATGACCTCACTGATATTGCTAGCTTCTGTGAGAATAGGGAATAGTTCATGGCTGGTATGGTTGATCGCTTAAATGGACTTGTGGATGGATATGTCAATGAATGTGTACGTATTTACTGCTCGTAGGATATAGTATACATTTCTTTTGGTAATTCTATAGAGGCTCATTGCTACGATACTAATAACAATTATGTTGATCAGCTTGCATAGCGTTAACTTTAACCTGAGTGACATGTTGGAGCCAGCACTACACGCCACACAATAAACCTCAACCTCAGAACCATCAACTCAGGCTGTCAGCACGTAAACTGTTGTTCCTTTCTGGCCACAGCCCTTAGCCATAGCTAGCTTCCTTTTAAGTCTGTAATCATCATAGTTGTGCAGTTCACTGAAGAAGGTGTACGAACCAAAACATGTGAACAATAATTATCCTTTTTAAGTTAATGCTACACAAGCTCATCAAATTAATCGTTATTTCTTTTTGTCTTGTGCCTACTCTGAAGTAGCCTATGGTTCACTCTATAGGGAATACATGCTTACCGAGTAACTGACACGTAACACCAATTTCCTTGTACCTACATATGTACGTCTGTTGCTGCAATGAGCAATACATTAGTCTCTGTTTTTCCCCTCCTCAATGCTTAATGTCCTTCACTGTATTTGACTAGTCATAATTAGTTGACTGGTTTACTACAAGCATCTTAACAGGTAAGGTAAGCAAAGGGACTCTAGTGTTGGCTTGCTAAATAATGTATATATTAGTTCTAAGTTGACTATGGTGGGTGAACAGTGCCTTTATCACGTCAACGTTGAATTTGTATATCATTCATCAGTACTCTTTGTGAGTGACTGGTTTACTCACAATGATTCCTGTTTTCTTTGTGAAGGTTGGTCCTCTCTCATCTCCTCTGGGGAGAGCTGCTGGAAAAGGTCACACAGAGATTGTGGAGAAACTGATATCTGCTGGAGCTGTCATCAACTACCAGAACAAGGTACGACGTTTTCTGTCTGCCAGTGTAACTTTGGAACACCTGCTAGTTCCACTGGGTTCTGTATAATGTTATACTTATATGCCTCTGGTGTAGAGAGGAATGTGATGTGTAGTTCTGAGGATGTTGATCATCTTGCTGTAATTATTGTAACACACATGTACAAGATACTGTTGAACGTGTACAAAAATTATCATGTACTTACGCCTTGGTTGGTATGTTCTAGTATATTATGGGCCTAGTGGCGCTTTCTAGTGCAAACCAAGTAGTTTTAAGATCCTTTGGTCCTCATCAGCTGCTGGTAGTATTGTAGAGCAGGCTATCTGCTAGTTGCATCATTATCATTTAACAAGAGACCATTATCGTGTGTACATGTGTTCACTATGTTATTGAGGAGCTAAGTCTCTTCCAGTTGAATCATGACTGGTGTATGGACCACAATGAGGGCTTATGTCCACATGGTGACTGCAGGTATGAGAACTGCAGCCAGTTGGAGAGCCTCATGTCTATTCTCTCTTCTGCATTGCAAAAAATTAACCTCTGACCCTTTAAAACTATATTATATTAAAGTATCAGTACGTAGGCTGTTACGCTTTATTCTTTATGTGACCTGTAAAGTGATAATGGTGTGTGGTTAGAGATGGGTAGTCCACTGTGGTGTCTGTGACCTCAGATCAGCATTCCTGTGTACTCCACTATACTGATGGTTAGTGATGTCACAGCTGGTTACACCCATCTGGGTGGACCTATTCACACTTCATGTGACCTTCAGCCAATCAATTTTGTTACGTGCACACTTTTTTAATTGCTTAATGCACTAAAAAGTGTGCTTTAAGTTGTTAATGCACTGACGTTGTCAATAAAGGGCAAGCGTTTCAATAACTGGCCACGAATCATATTGGCAGAGACTACATGCTTCACTAATATTTTCAGAACACATATTATGCGGTTCCAATTAGTGCCCTCAGACGGAATTAACGATTATATAATGCACTAGTGTAAGTCTCGTGCATGCATTATCTAATTAATGGGATCCCTAATTAAATCCTCCTCCCGTACTAAGACTAAACCACACAAATGCACTGCATAGTGTGTTCCAATAATTCCAGCCACTATGTGTGGGTCTGTGGTGCTAGGTGCTCAAGTACAGGACTTGCAGTGCAATGGAAACCACTGTAATTTTAAAATATGAGAAAATGGAGTGACAACCAAACTGAATTGTTATGTATTTCTCTTGTATGAGGGTTTGTATGACTGCTCTCTCTTGATATCTCTCTGCACAATTATGTCACATTTGATATATCCTGTATATTTCTCTGTCACACTTTCACCTATACTCAGGATGGTGCTACTCCACTCTATGTGGCCTGTCAAGATGGACACAAGCAGGCAGTTGACGTTCTGTTGAAGAATGGAGCAATTGTTAATCTGACCCGCACAGTAAGTTTTATTGAGGAAACCTTTGGCACATGAACAGAGAGGGTTATGGTACTGCGTATGTCTGGAGTGTGTGTATGCATCTCCTTCTCTCGGTTACCCCACAATGTGCAACACTGGGGGGGGGGCCGAATAGTGAAACCACTAATTTAGCGCTGCAGATGGCTATCTGCCATTAATCACATATCGACGTTGTTGAGCCTGCGATACCTAAAAAGAGCGTTTAAATATTATTGCATATATATATCACAATTTCACCTAGTATCTACATAATATCCTGTCTTTTGCTGCAATGGGCAAGACATTGTTTTTTGTTTTTCCCCTCCTCAATCCTCAATGTCCTTCACTGCATTTGACACTATACTCAGAATTTGTTCACTGGTGTGTACTCCAAGCATTTTAACGTTAAGTGATACCTATTGTAATTTTCCAGCAAAGTGATTTTACCTGATCCCAAAGTCATCCCAAAAAATTGTGTGATTAACCTCTGATTCTTATCAGAGCGTCACTGTAGGGATTGCACAGGTGAATTATCACATGATCCGAGTACAAAAAGCCTCCAAATTCTAGTTAAAATCCTTTTCTCTAAGTAGGAACATTGACACAGGTTCAGTATTAGTTTATGCTTGCACTGTGGTTAATATCATGTCTTGCTCTAAAGATGGCTTCCATCTTGTACGTAGCATAGTCAGTGTTTCTGATAACTATGATTGTGCATAACTGTGAGGACCATCATGTCTTACACTACGGCATTGGCAAATGCATGTAGCTGTACAAAGTTGTCTGGAGTCTAGACTAGTGGGACAGTCACAGTCTGGACCTCAGCTGTAGTTTCTGACTACCACTAAGTCACTGGAGTAACACAATAGTGGTATACAATCATAGACTGGAAGAGAAGAGTACAGGGTGAAAATTAATATGTGCAGACTCTCTGAGACAATAATAATTGCCGAGCGCATTAGAAGTAAATTTAAAGAAAAGTGCCTGAGGCTATTTGTTGTTGTTTATAAATACGTATTGTTGTGTTTTTGATGTTGGGTATTGAATACATTATGTATACAAAGTTTCGTTCACATAGCTTCTAGTGATTGACATGGTACCTAGCATCATAGATGTATGGGGCTATGATAGGGAGTTTTGTTCATCATCATCTTCTTCTTCTTCTTCTTCTTCTTCTTCTTCAACCAGCATAACTCAAAAACCGAAAGTGATAAAGCCATGAAATTTTGTAGGGATGTACATATCGATAACCACATGGGACTCATCATACTTTTTTGTTTGTAAACAACAACAAAATTGCCCCCGGCAATACATTATAATGGACAATACATTTTAATGGGCATACTACATGTGTCAGTGTAACTCACAATTGGTAAGAGTTATGCGAGCGAAAGTTTGTATACACAATGTATTCAATAGCCAACATCAAAATCACAACAATACATGTTTGTAAATAACAACAAATAGCTTCAGGCACTTTTCTTTAAATAATACTTCTTCACTTCTCAAACTTTCCAATGGTAGCACGCATAGAGATGAAACTTGGTACGTATGCCTATTATATCATTTCCATGACGATTACATGTTTCCATGACGACCGCATATTGTTCGAAAAGGCCTCAGGCACTTTTCTTTAAATTACTTCTTCACTCCTCAAACTCGCTAACGGTACCACGCATGGAGGTGAAACTTGGTGCGCATGTGTATTACATCGTTTCCATGACGACCACAACAACAAATAGCCTCAGGCACTTTTCTTTATAATTACTTCTTTACTCCTCAAACTTGCTAACGGCAGCACACATGGATGGTATGCATTTCATTTCCATGACGACAACAGGCATTTTTTCTCTATTAAATTTTTATACGGGCTTGCCCCCTTCTACGTAGTAGTATATAAAAATGAGTGGAGACAAGTAAATAAAAAATCCTGCGGATTAAAAAAAAAGTGCATATAGGGATCGTATAAAAAGAAAGGGAGACAAGATAGGGATTGTGTTTGTGGAAACAGAGATGCTAGCGAGGAGTTAGGACTCCCACAGGTCATTTCAAACTGACATTTCTTGCTCATGTAAATTTTACTCCACACAAGCCCTATATTGTCGCCACTCTTACTCATGACATGAGTTTTGAATAATGTAGTGTGAAGACTGGCAAACGAATTCTGTAGGGAAAGCAGCATTGTCAAACCGGTTAGTTGAGCAAACATTGAAGTAAACACTGTCACGATTCAATTTGAGGAACTGTCAGAGAGGACATTTGCTACCAGTCTTACAGGAAACGAGTCATAGCTGCACATCATACGATAGATATCACTCGTGCTTTGCGACAATATAGGGCTTGTGTCGAGTATAATTTACATGAGCAAGAAATGTCCGTTTGAAGATGTTACAATCATCCCATTGTACTCTGCATCACACGCCCTGGTCATCCCTGTCTTGTCTCCTTGCTTCATATGGCATCCCTATATTCCACACTTTTTTAATTCACAGAATTTTTTACTTACTTGTAATTCATGTTTCAATGAACTCTTATCATAGTAAATCAGTGTACCAAGTTTCATTGTTAGAGGACCCACAATAAGCAAGTTACAGGCACAAACATCATTTACAAGTATTTATTGCCTGAGGCTGTTTGTTGTTGTTTACAAACTTGTAATTTCTGTTTCGATGAACTCTTATCATGGAACATCAGTGTACCAATTTTCATTGTTAGAGGTCCCACCATAAGCAAGTTATAGGCAATAATATAGTTTACAAGTTTTTATTGCCTGAGGCTGTTTGTTGTTGTTTACAAACTTGTAATTTCTGTTTCAATCAACTCTCATCATGGTACATCAGTGTACCAAGTTTCATTGTTAGAGGACCCACCATAAGCAAGTTATAGGCACAAACACATTTTACAAGTTTTTATTGCCTGAGGCTGTTTGTTGTTGTTTACAAACTTGTAATGTTTACATTTTGATACTAATGATGGGTTGTATATGTGTACAAAGTTTTATCACTCTGGGTATTAGCTTTACCCAGTTAGCACACTTTATTTGTCTCTATAATAATGTATTGCCTGGGGCTATTTGTTGTTGTTTACATGTAAACAAAATTGTTTACGAAGAAATAAAATGCTCTTGCACGACCTGTCATGGATTCCAATCTTTGTGCAAAGTTTGATCTCCATATCTTACCTGGTTTTTGAGATACGCTTGTTGAAACTGAACAACAACAACAACAAGAAGAAGAAGAAAATTGAAAAGTTGAATAAATCAAGTACCGATTATGCGATTTAAGCTATTTCTTGGATACATGCTCTTTGTGACGATACAAATTAGTCTGATGTGTCAAAAGTTGGATCTGATTGAAATAGAAAGTGAAACATGAAAATCTCAAATGTATGGGCATAATGCAGGACAACCTGTGTCATCCCTATATACTAAGTACTACCGTACTTAGTGATACTCAGGTTGCTGCCATAGCACTAGGGCCATAGACCACGCACCCAGAGCATTGGGCGGACCCGTTAACAAACCACCATATGTACATGAGGTGTCTGTCTCACCTCCCAGACACCTCAACTTACCCCTTCCACCAGCGACACCCTGCAATCACCAGGTGTAATCGGTATTCCGAATGAGTAGCTGTCATTTATTTTCCCTCACATGCCATATAAAAGTACAAAAGCAATCACTGGGTGTAATCAGGTTGTTCCGAATGAGTAAATGTCTTTTATTTTCCCTCACATGCCATATAAAAGTACAAAATGGGGTGGTAGATCTCGAAATGTGCTGACTATTATCACGATGGCTGCCAAGTTTTGTTTGATACACGTCCATACTATTAGTATGCGCATACAGTGTGTACCAGGCTCTTTTCCCATCCCACAAAGAGTCTACGGACAAGGCTATCGTATGCACATGTCTTTCTACACACTCTGTGCAGGTCACCATCGGAGTCAGTGGTGTAGATGTGTACGTACACACATGGCAGACATAGAATGACATTACTTTCTACTGTAATTGGTGAGTGGCACAGAGATCAGAGAAACACTACACGTACTACTGGTTGTAGGTATGTAGAACTGAGCCTAAAAGGACTGTCCAGTAATGCCTGTGTAAGACAGCTTGTGACTGTCTCGGCACAGGTAGGGCAGTAGGCGCCACATTCTGCGTTGCTGTGGGTCACACTTTCACGTGCACAATGTATCCTGTAACCATAGCTCCATGCCTCATATTCTTGCCCTTATCCTTACTACTAAAGTATGGCATATTCAGTAGTTGTGTGGCTCTTTGGTCTATGGTCAACTGCATGTTAAAACCTGTTAGTTGTGAGTAGGCCACTCCCATATAGGAATGAATTTTTAACACAAACCACAACTGTTCCTGCTCTTTGCTGGTATATAAGGTGAGGGCTAGCATCCCTGGGCTAAGCTGGCTGGCTCTCTAGAGCTGGCCCATGCGCAGCGAGGGTTACAGTAGTCGTTCTGTCTGTGTGTCGACGCTTATTCTGGCACTACAGGCTACGAGGCGGCCCATTAGCGATACCAACGGCTTCCGAACTACGCGAGCCTGAAAAATAAAATGGCGATTTTCCTGAAACGACTGCGTTTGAGAGATATGCCGTGAAAACAAGCAATAAAGCCAATATGCATAATCGTACTAGGCTTATCGCGACCTGATCCGCTCGCTCTGTGTACCTTGGGAGCTCAGGAAGTCACAATGAATAGCATGCATCAACTACCACATGCTGTAGATAGCCCGTGTAAGACTCTCTGCACGCTACTGGCGGGAGACCACGAGTAAACGCATACTACAAATAGCCCAGCTCATCAGTTAGCAGTATTGCGCATGCGCAGTTTGCCGAGGGTTTTCATTTGGTTAACAACAAGAGATGCCAGCTTGGCTAGGGATGCTAGCCCTCCATTATATATAAACTAAAAGTGGACTCTCGAACATGGTCGTTTCAGAAAAATCCCCCTTTTATTCTTCAGGCTCGCGTATAGTTCTGAAGCTGTTTGTATCGCTAATGGGCCGCCTCGTAGCCACTGCTACCTCATAAGGATATGTCCATTCTGTCTGTTAGTGTTATATTTATGTTCTCTTGTGCATGGTTTTTTTGTAAGCCAGTGTCGTTTGATATCTGCAGCTTCAAAGAAGACACCTGCACCATTCTAAATTTAGTACATATAAAATTTGTTTCTATATCTGATGTCATAGCATATGAATGCAGTTTTGTAAGTCCATAGTCTGTGATGTCCATATTCTGCAGGTTCCTTTTTCCCCATTTTTGACTGATGATATACGGAGGCTTGTGTATTCCTAACTACTCGACATTGAACGACTAAGCTAAAACGAGGTATGCTACAATCTACCACACTACTAGTATGCAGTGCCATATCTTGCATTTTGTGTGTGCAGGGGTAGTTTCCCTCATCAGTACAGATAATATTGTATGCACAGTTTTGTGACAGAAAGGTCTGTTTCCATCAACCAGTTCCTACCACAGTAAGTAGGCATTAGATTGTCGCAAAAGAACACCTGACTCCCTCCCTAAATGCTCCATGCTCTGATATTATTGTTGTCAATAAACTGATTAGTGAAGTGTCCTGCTCTCAGGTGTCCTGATTACTGAGGTGTCCTTGGATTACAACTGATTGCATAAGGATTGTGGGGTCAAAGGTCGGCTATAGTATCTGATCCAGTCCAAATCGTGCGCATGTGCAGTTAGTTCAATTCAAATTGCCGGTGTGCACTATATAGAGGGCTTCCTTGACAAACGTGGATCAGGTGAGTACTATACGTCCTGAGCGCATACACTGTTTACATATTTACCCTCTCTGGGAACAAGAGGGGAGGCCCAAATGGGGTGGTAGATCTCGAAATGTGCTGACTATTATACTCCTCTCTCTCTCTCTCTCCCTTCCTTCCTCCTCTCTCCCTCCCCCTCTCCTCCCTCTTCCTTGTACATATAGTCTGAAAGGAGCCAAGGAATAGAGCCCTTTCCAAACCACTCTGCTGATGCTAAAGGCCACTAGTAAGTTGAGTCTGCATTCAGTATTACACCCATAAGTTCTTTCAAGAGGTTGGTCAATGTTGTGCATGGTGATGCCAGCTATATATCGCATGACATGCGTGATCGCAAGACATGCATGCAGGCATTGGCCTGGTAATAAATAAGGAGGGAATGCAAACCCTTATTGGTAGGTACTAAAATGGCACCACTAATACTTATTGGGCTAGAGAGAAGGCCAAATGGAGGGGTAGCTCTCAGAGTGTGCTTACTATTGTACTCCCTCTCCCTCCCCTCCTCTCCCTCTCCTAAAGCCTATATACCTAGGGCCTTTCTCAGGGATGGTTCCGGGGTTAACACCGTGAAGTGTATATAGTTCATCTCCATCCGGCCACGTATTTAGAACAAAAGATCTCTTGGTGTTTTCAATCTCTTCTTCCATCTCTTTCGGCTGTTCCACCACGGCTTCTGGATCATGAGAAAGCTCAATTTCCCCATTACCCAGAGGCCTTCTTATGATCTTGAACCCATTTGGGGCACTTCACAGCAAGAATAACGGCTACTACACATCCGACTCCGATGGAAGCTATCACGACTCCTGCGATGACTCCTGCAATTGCTCCAGCGCTCAATCCACCATTTTGAGAACCAGTCGTAATATCGGTTGGGTCTGTTTCTCCTGGGGTTGGCGATATCTTGTCCTGCTCCAGCCTAGAAAGATCCAATCAGTGCAGAATATACCCTGTGCGTTTCGGGCATACACGAAACAACTCATTCCGACTCCGTTAGACAAGAGACGATTGGAAAAAACCCCACTATAGGGGGTTTAGTTGGCTCGTGCACATATCGCATGCTAAGGGACGCCCGGACTTTTCTCTCCATTATCTTCTCTGAGATGATCCCTCGATGAGCTGAAAACAGCTCGCTTAGGTCCATCTTCCCTCCGAACGCAAAGCAGCTGTCGACCTTTGTACTTTACACGTGACTGGCAACTGGGCAACGAGGGAGCAGTGACAGCTCTCCGAGAAAGAAGCAGCATGAGTGCCACTATCCCAACTGCTCCAAGGTGTACGGAAAGACATCCCACCTTCTGCTGTCACACGGGAGAGCGGGCATTCATCTGCCACTGCTGCAGGGTAGTATTGTCTTTGTGTGCTTGACACATCACGCTCTCCTCCTCCTATTATATCTCTAAAAAACATAGAATGGCTTCTCAGCAGGCTGTCACCTGTACATAGTTGGAGGGCCTCTGCATAATATATGTATACATTGGTGTGTGCTGCCATATGGACCACTGCATACCAATCTCTCTGTCTTACACCTAGGTATTTACATACCTTCAGGAATTTGAGTATGCCCAGCAATTCTTTTACTAATGAAGCGGGGCCAGCTGAGGAGTCCTCCCGCTATATAAATAATGGACGAAAACCATCTCTCGGGTAATCCCCCAGAGATGGTTCCTGGTTTTTCCCACCCAGTTCTGGCTTTCCCACTCAGTTCTGCTGGTCTATGAATACACCCTCTAGTTGCAGCTTATACCACATCACTGAGGGTCATCTCTCCCTAAAGGCAGATTGGTATGTCATTTATATGATGGTATAAATGTTATTATGCACACTTGAGTATGGTGTGGCTCAAATAGGTGGGCTCGAATCCCAAACTCTGCTGTGACTGCCTCATGGTGCATGTTTACCATTAGTCTGTACATTCTGTGATGTATGATGCTCATAATAGAATGATTATGCTTGTCCCATTCAGTTACAGGCCTCTCCTACAACTAGAAACTTGGCACAGTGTATCACACTACCTGATGAAGTTGGAGAAATTGCTATGGCCATTCAAGCGCTGGTGCAGGAGTACCCCACACAATAATCACCAGTTAGCCTGTGGCCTCTCCCCTCCCGCCTGCAGGTGTGGCACCTCTCTTCCCTGGGCTATTGCCAGGTTTAGGAGTTCTTCCCTTGTAGGCCAGTGTATAAAGTCTGAGCTTGCTGCTTCTGACAACATAATGAACGTAGTATATACACTGTTACTAAGATCAGGACACCTCGATATCACAACACATGAAACCACGACACCTCGCTCGGGGGAATGTTTGGAAAGAGAGAGGAGGGGGTTGGGAGGGGAGAGGAGTGAGGTACAGTAGAAAACCTGAAAATACAGAAGTGTGCATGCACAACTTCGAGATCAACCCTGGACGAACATGTCATCACCAACCACACAAAAGTGACAACTCTACTTGACTCTTTGACTACCATGGACCCCACCTTCTTCAGTCATGTGTTATGCTTCTTACATGTTTTTTAACTTATTGTATTCGTCCCTCACCACACAAAAGTGACAACTCTACTTGACTCTTTGACTACCATGGACCCCACCTTCTTCAGTCATGTGTTATGCTTCTTACATGTTTTTTAAACTTATTATATTCGTCCCTCACACTGTCTTTCCCTGGGGAAAGTGCTCCCCCACCTTTTAGTCTGCCACTGACTCCCCAGACTCTCAAGGCAAAATAATATCCGGATCCGTCTTTTGCCGAACTGCGCTGGGCTGGAAAATCAGAAACATCCAACTTACATCGGACGCCCGGACTTTTCTCTCGGTTATCTTCTCTGAGATGATCCCTCGATGAGCCAAAAACAGCTCGCTTAGGTCCATCTTCCCTCCGAACGCCATCTCTCCAAAAAGCAGCTGTCGACCTTTGTACTTTACACGTGACTGTAAGCACGCGCGTGCGGTTATGAGATAAGCGCATAATAAGTTCCTGTCACATGTATACAAGGACTCACAATAAACAAACAAACAAAAGGGGCTTTTACAGAAATAAAGAGTCGAAGTCAAAGGTGACGTTGTCGGCAGATAATGATGATATACAGTGAAGTCAGACTGGAGAAAAAAAAGAACTGAATGCAGGTGATGAGTGGTGGTGATGTGTGTGTGGAGGTGCAGTGACTACGTCATGGATTTCCTCTGCAATCTGCTGTGTCTCTCTAATCACGCCTGTATTCTGGGCACTCTGCTCAGCCGCTTCCGTTACCCGACCTGTGGTCCGACGGTGACGAACTGGAAGAATTACTTCACAATGGGAACCCTGGAACCATCCCTAGTTCCTGGATGAGCTGGCGGATCACCTGTCCACCGTTGGACCACAGGTTTAGAACAAAAGTTTGCTCGGTATCATCTGGGTGGAGAGACACACGTAGTACACACGCCATAAGATCATGATAGCTATACAGCTGAGTCATGTGATTTATGACCTCATTATGACTTCATTCATAAAGGGAAATTCTTAGTACGTGCATGAATAATGAAAAGCACTAAAGTGCAAACCCTCCGCAAGATGCACATGCGCGGTACCACTTAGCCTGTGCCCTCTCTCTACCTGCCTGCAGGTGTGGCACCTCTCTTCCCTGGGCTATTGCCAGGTTTAGAAGTTCTTCCCTTGTAGGCCAGTGTATAAAGTCTGAGCTTGCTGCTTTTGACAACATAATGAACGTAGTATATACACTGTTACTAAGATCAGGACACCTCGATATCACAACACATGAAACCACGACACCTCGCTCGGGGGAATGTTTGGAAAGAGAGAGGAGGGGGTTGGGAGGGGAGAGGAGTGAGGTACAGTAGAAAACCTGAAAATACAGAAGTGTGCATGCACAACTTCGAGATCAACCCTGGACGAACATGTCATCAACAACCACACAAAAAGTGACAACTCTACTTGACTCTTTGACTACCATGGACCCCACCTTCTTCAGTCATGTGTTACATGTTTTTAAACTTATTATATTCGTCCCTCACACTGTCTTTCCCTGGGGAAAGTGCTCCCCCACCTTTTAGTCTGCCACTGACTCCCCAGACTCTCAAATATCTGGATACGTCTTTTGCCGAACTGCGCTGGGTTGGAATCAGAAACATCCAACTTACATCAGACAGCACATGCAAGCTTTGTGGTTCCACTTCCGCTGAGACCGCTCCTCACTTCACTGCCCAGTGTCCCGCCCTCTCCTCAGTGCGCAACTCACTCTCTCCCCGCAGTCTCATCCCTCTGTCAGCCTCTGACTCCCGACTGTTCGTGGACTACGTTCTCGGCACCGTGTGGGTGGACGACCCACTGTTTCAGCAAGAGGTTATAGTTCTCCTACACCATCTTTACACAGCCCGCCTCGACCAACTGTCAGCTGCTGCATCTTCATTGCCCACTCAATAGGCTACTCTCCTTTAGTGGATCGAGGTTACAAAGAAGTGGGCCCATTCAACATGAACTTTGAACTTTTGAACTTTGAGCAACACGGTGCACGAAGAGTCTCTTCCTCCTGACTCTCTTCCTCGCCAACTGCTCCTCTCCCTGCTCAATTCCCCCCCCCCTCTTGTGGCATCGTTCCCAGACTCCTATCCTTGCTATCTGAGTACGACCTCCCCTCTGTCAACCTTGTCATCTCAGATCGTTGGAGCAGGGATGGATGGAAGCGTCTGACAAGGAGGTTACTGCTAGCCAAAGAGTTTACTCTATTCGTCGAGACCTGCAGCCACATCCCACTGGCCGATTGCTCGTCCCTCTCCCTGGGGAAAGTGCTCCCCCACCTTTTAGTCTGCCGCGGACTTCCAGACTCTCAAGGCAAAATAATATCCGGGATCCGTCTTTTGTTGAACTGCGCTGGGCTGGAATCAGAAACATCCAACTTCCGGAACGCTACATCGGACGACACATGCAAACTTTGTGGTTATACTTCCGCCCAGTGTCCCGCCCTCTCGTCAGTGCGCAACTCCCTCTCTCCCCGCAGTCTCATCCCTCTGTTAGCCTCTGACTCTCAACTGTTTGTGGACTACGTTCTCGGCACCATGTGGGTTGACGACCCACTGTTTCAACAAGAGGTTATAGTTCTCCTACACCATCTTTACACAGCCCGCCTCGACCAACTGTCAGCTGCTGCATCTTCATTGCCCACTCAATAGGCTACTCTCCTTTAGTGGAGGTTACAAAGAAGAAGAAGAAGAAGAGCGGCATGTCGAACCAGCAGCTGCCGTCGTTCTACTCAGCTCCCGCCGCTGCAAGTCTTCAGTCGTCGCCGTCGGTTGACTATGGATCGAGCAGCAGTCTTGCCGCGTTTTCCTCTTCTTATTCTTTTTGCTCCTCGAGATCTCCGCTCTCCGACACAGAGAGTAGTATCGGCGCTTCAAGTACTTCTGTATGCGGTGAAGAAGAAGACGCAGACTGGTGTCTGCCTCAGGCGGAGACGCGGCCGACCTGTGGCGGCCACAGCAGTAATCGGCGAGCTCGTCGCAGAGGCGGAGATCAACGGCAACCCCTGGACAGAGTCCCAGTGAACAGAGGTGGACCAAGCGCAGCGAAAAAGAAAAACGCCCGAGAAAAGGAGAAAGTGAAGAACGTCCGGGAGGAATACGAAACACTCGGCGCGGTGCTCGGGAGCCGGGTCGGAAGAGGCTCCGGTCATTTTAGCAAGGCGCGAATTCTCGCGGACGCCATTCGCCATATCAGAGAGCTGCAAGAGGTAATGCTGCAGAAGACCGTCAAGCAGACAACCACCCAAGAAGCGGGGACCGTTGGCGTCGAGCCCAGCTCCCCTCTTCTTCCACCACCACCCCAGCAGATCAACCTCAACTGCGACGAGCGGCTGCAACCCACCAACACCAGCCTCGACGGCTTCTTTCAAGAAGAGATTGTTCCGACGTACACTCATGAAGTCGCTCCAGACGACTTGCCACCAGCGTACTTCAGCTACAACTCTGGAGCTGATACCCCTCCTGTAACGAGCAGCCAATGTCTCTTCTCTCTCCCCAGTGGAGGCCCTCTTCCTCCTTTTTCATCCCTCGTCTATTCTCCAGAAATGGCTGGGCACCTCACGCACTCAAGTGGGGCAGCCCCTGCCTCTATTGGAGGTCCACTCTCCCCTCTCGGAGTATCGCCACCACCACAGCATCCGTACAGCTGTGGCTCAGACGTGTGAATGGCCATCGGCTGCAACTAACACTGGTGCATCATATCTGGACAGTCTTGAACAACAAGTTTTCATTTTTATAACACAGCATGTCCACTTTTCAACGATATATACACATGTATGTTCGATATATATTTCAAGGAAAGGAAAGTTGGTAGTTGAGCGATTATGTGCATGCAAGAAGACTTGGGTTTGACATGGCTTGCAAGTTTTACAGTCTTAGCAGAGATGGTTCCTGGCTTTTTCCCACCCAGTTCTGCTGGTCTCTGACTACACCCTCTAGTTGCAGCTTATACCACATCACTGAGGGTGCTTTCCCTTCATCTCTCATCAAAGGCAGATTGCAATTGGTATGGTAAATGTTACTGGACTAATGACACCCCACCCAGGACTACAGAAATAGGTGGGGCTCGAATCCCAAACTCGACAATAAGTATACTGCACGAGACTGACAACCGCTCTTCTCTCCTGCAGCAGAGTTTAGCCTGGCGCCACCTACCTAGTCTGTCAAGGATGAACAATATATTATGACAAGTAACTAAAAAATCCTGCGAATTTAAAAAAAAAGAGGCATATAGGGATGGTATAAAAAGAAAGGGAGACAAGATAGGGATTGAATACATGAAGCATGGTTATTGAACAGATTTGAGTACGCTGACACCCCCACCCCATCACACCATCCCTGCTGCCTGGTGTGCTACTCTTATAGGGGCTAAAGGTTACTAAAGCAAGCATTCTTTCACTGTGTCCTTGTTGTTTTTAGTAACATTTATACTGCCACATTCCCTTTAATTAAACTCCACTTGGACTCTATAAGGGTGTTGGTTACTCAGTAGTGTATTGTAAGTTCTGAGTATTGTAATGGTGAATGTTTAATACTTCACCTAGGCAACAATATAAGGATTGTGTGATGGGGGTGGGGGTGTCAGCGTACTCAAATCTGTTCAATAACCATGTGCTTCATGTATCCAATCCCTATCTTGTCTCCCTTTCTTTTTATACCATCCCTATTATGTCTATTTTTTTAAATTCACATGATTTTTTATTTACTTGTCTCCACTCATTTTTATATACTACTACGTATTATCTCTGTGGAAGGGGGCAAGCCAATGATATGGAAATGATATGCACACCATGTTTCATTTCCATGTGTGCTGCGATTAGCAAGTTGGAGGAGTGAAGAAGTAATTTAAGAAAAGTGCCTGAGGCTATTTGTTGTTGTGGTCGTCACGGAAACGGTGTTACACACATGTGTACCAAGTTCCATCTCCATGCGTGCTACAGTTAGCAGGTTTTAGGAGTGAAGAAGAAATTTTAAAGAAAAGTGCCTGAAGCTATTTACAAGCATGTATGGTTGTCATTTTTATGTTGGCTATTGATACATTGAATACATTGTGTATACAAACTTTAGCTCCCATAACTCTTACCAATTGTGAGTTACACTAACACATGTAGTATGCCCATTATAGCGTACTGCCCATTATAATGTATGGCCTGGGGTAATTTTGTTGTTGTTTACAGTAAACAACATTGTTTACAAACAAAAAAGTATGACGTTGCACATGTGGTTATCGATATGTACATTCTTACAAAATTTTATGGCTTTATCTCTTTCGGTTTTTGGGTTATGCTGGTTGGAGAAGAAGAACAAGAAGATGATGAACAAAACTCCCTATCATAGCCCCATACATCTATGATGCTAGGTACCATGTCAATCCCTATACTAAGTACTACCATACTTAGTGATATCTTGGTCAAAACAGGGATTTTGGAGAGGGACAAAAAATGGGATTGTTCAGTAGTCAGATTTTTGGGAGGGATAATACACAGTCAGTGTCGGAAGCTGGTTGCTACAGCGAGGAGAGAGGCCTTGGGCAGCAGGCAAGGCGGTGAGGGGAAGAGGTCGATCCCCTTGAACCAGTGGTGGTGTTATCAGGATGCTATATACTCATTTGCAGGTATCCACCGATTTTCCAGACACGCTTGCAAACCGCCCTGTGCTTTCCACAGTATACAATTTAAACAGTGCATGACACAACAAACGAGAAATAAGCTGTACATACCGTACATAACTTAACCCTTTGCCAGCGTTTTACATATATATATGCACAGAGCTTCCATAAGTCCATAAGAATTTATATAGCCCTATAATACTAGGCGTTAATATTATGTACATCAATTTCTGCTTGGTTAAGGAAACACCCATAGCGCCGTAAGGGTTAAATGGCAAAAATCACTGAAATTGATGTTGGAGTCAGTTGTAGGAATTTAATATTTTGGAGAATTTTTCAGTTTTTTTACCAACAATTACTGGCAAATCTGGAACGTGATGTGATGTGCGATGTTATAATGGTATATGAATATTATTAGCTTCCCAGTCTCTGCTTCGGTTAAATAGGCTGAGGTTTCTTTTATAATTAGAGGGTAAGGGGGGAGGGAGGAGGGTTGATGAGTCACAAGTCTGAAGTCGGTCAAACGACAGGAACACGAGGGGGCAGCCCGGGAGGCGACACGGCAGTGGACGATAACTGGCGCTGGGCGTAGTGCAAATGAGGACCGTTCTTGTTCTTCGGTGGAGTGTACTGCCCCTTCTCCATGTTGCTGGTCAGACTACGGAATGGTTGTTGGGGCAAGTCCTCGTCTATGAGTGGGACGTTCTGGTAAGTCTCACAGCTATCCCTCTGCCGCTCGCTCCTGATCTCGGCATTGTCGTAGTTCGGGTGGTAGACAACGAAATCTTCATCTCTTGTTTTTGACGCAGCGGACACGTTCAGTTGCTCGCGTGTCTCCGGAGCCTCTTGAATTGTTGGGAGTGGACCAGAATTATGGTAGTTTGAGGACGGACTGGCTGGCGATGGAACCAGCGACTCTCCGCTTTGTGTGCAGAACAGAGGCGGAACGTCGTAATTGCTGGGTACAACGGGTCGAGGAACGTCGTAATTGCTGGGTACAACGGGTCGAGGAACGTCGTAATTGCTGGGTACAACGGGTCGAGGAATTTTCAGCCCTGCTAAAGCCTGGGTCATTTTGATGTAGTTATCGCGATCAGAATTCATCCTGAACTGCCCGCTCCCTGATTCCTCATTCTCCTCATAGTGTCCATCGTCGTGTGGCTGTCTCGACATTGCTCGCTCGTCAAACATTTCATCATCATTGAACGTGTCCACAGAGTGACTGTATGACTGCTGGGACGGAGCTCCGAAACTGCCACTCGGGGAGGCCGAGCTGCGAGGCACGGGGACCGAACGCTGTTTACGGAAGGACGGGTGTGTATCGAGGCGTACCGGTGGAGGGACGTCTTGGGCCAGGGAGCGAGAGTTAGAGAGAGGTGAGTCTTTGAACCCCGAGTCGTCGCTGGGACCAACCGACCCCTGACTGTACTGGAAACTGGAGGAGGACTGGGATCTCTCGTATGGCGACGGGAGACTCATGTCGACGGAGGAACGTGGTTTGGAATAGACAGAGGAGTATCTGGTTGGGATGGACAATGCCTTACCATCTCCCTCGAAGAGGAATCTGAGGGGAAGAGAGAGAGAGAGGCGAGGTAAATCCAGAGACAACTACAGTGAGCTTGCTATATCACCAATGGGATAATGAAAAGCACTAAAGTGCAAACCCTCGGCGAACTGCGCATGTGCGGTACCACTAATTGATGGGTTGGGTTATTTATGCCTTTACTCGTGGTATCCCGCTAGTAGCTCGCGGAGAGTCTGGCACGGGCTAGCTACAGTAGTAAATAGCATGCGTGAGTCGATACATGCCCTTCGTTGTGACTTGTTGTGCCTTCAAGACACACAGAGCGAACGGACGCGGTCGAGGTAAGCCTGTGCTAATTTACATATTAGCTTGTTCACTTGGTTTTCACGCCATAACTTTAAAACACAGTAGTTTTACGAAAATCGCCTTTTTTAAAATCAACCCAGTGTAGCACTGAACCCGATCATATCGTTATTTACCTGATTTCGTGCGCGCGGTGGCAGAAAACGTGGTAACAGACAGACTGACAGACTGACACACTTACGGGACAACTACCGTAACCCTCGCTGCGCATGCGCGCCGAGGGTTAATAAGAGAGGCCCCATACTAGTAAGGTGTTCTCATTTCAGGAGTGCAAGAGCTGTTCTGGGGAAAGAAACATGTCCAGGAAGATAGAACAAACCCATCATGTGCTAAATAGGGCATACAGGGGAACAGAGGGGGTGCATGGGGAGGGAAGTGACAGGCAGGAAGGCTGGGGCTCCATTAGTGAGTCAGAAATGACTTTGAGGCACACAAAGATAGTAAGTTGAGGCTTTGTACCCAGGCAACCACTCAATCACACCATCACTAGTACACTATCAATTCCAACAGACCACTGTTCATGTGGGCAACAGTAAACAGTGCACAGAGCAGGTACACTTGGAGCTGCCAAGTATAAGTCCATCGAGCCACAAGCACAACTGCTACACGTGGAACCCTCTTAGTCAATGGGAAGTGTCCATGTTAGTGAGGTGTCCATTTCAGGGGTTAACCTTGAATTTTGTACCATCATAGCTCGCAAATGTTCTGAACCAAGTATCTTGAAATTTGGCAGGTGTTTGAAAGCTGTCAATCTTGTAAAATACACATACACACAGGAACCAACTGCCACAACTGTAACACACACACTTATCCTCTGGAACCACAAAACTAAGTTAAACCCACCTGTGGAGAGTTTCTCTGAGAGGGTGAACCTCTTCGAACCCAGCATACATCCACACCAGCCCCGGCCCTCCCTTGCACCTCCGCCCTATCTCGATGAACACGAGGTTCCCCATATTTCCCGTTCTGCGTATCTTGTCTCGGTCCCACGCGACGATCGGTTTCCCCGCGTCTGACGGACTCACGATCTGGAGCTGTCCCACACTCTGATTAGGGATGCCACCTTTGAGAAGGAGAATGTGGACCCCTAGCATATTGCATCTGGAGCCCACCTCCTCTGGCATTATGTAGACTGCCCATGCTGAATCTGGGACGACAGAGGAGAGAGGAGAGAGGGAGGGAAGAAGGGTAAAGGAAGGAGGGAGGAGAAGGAGGAGGTGGGTGACAGAGGCCTGCAATGTTGGCACACTAGGTTATTGTTAGAGGCCAGGGTTCAAGGGAAATTGACTCCATGGTCTAATATACCTCTCCCACCACACCTAGTATATACAAAAAAAATAGCCAGAGTTATGTAGTGCAAGGTCATTCTTAGAGAGACATGTAAACAAACTCTGAGTCCTGGATCTGCTTTAGGGGGAGGTAGTTCAGTATGAGGGGGGTTTGGGGGTGAGGGGGAGATAGGGAGACTGCATTAAAACCACTGTAACTCTAGTAAAATTCTTTTTTGGGGGATTTCAAGGCAGTTAAACTGCCCCCAAACCACACCAAAGGCTAACACAAGAACAACAAGTGGTGTATTATTGGTATACTGCTCCAACCCCAAGTGGAGTATACTGGTATCAACATAGTGTGAAATATACCTGCTCCGCAGGACTTGGGGTTCACTTTGTACCAGAATCTCTCGCTTATTGGGTTGGAGGATGGCTCCTCTGGGATGACAGAGTACGGAAACATCGCCAGTAGCGTGAGAAGCTTCAGCCAGTGGAATTTCATGTCACCACTCTCCAATCTGAACTCGTTCACTTCATTGGAATTTATCACCAGCAACTGACAGGCTTTCTCCAGCAGAGCTCCAACTGACCGTGGCGACACCTGGGAACCGACGGGAGAAGAGTAGGTCGGTTCCTTGATCTTTGCATCCATGAGCTGGATTATCTTCTTGGGTTTCTTGTCGCCGGGTTGCTCGACGTTCCTGTAGTTGTCATACAGGGCCATGCAGGCAGAGTGCAGTTTCCCGTTGTTCTCTCTCCCACAAAACACAATGACTGCTCTCCTCTGGGTGAGATAGATAGAGATATGACATGGTGGGTGAGTTTAGAAAGAAGCGAAAATTCTGTTTTACTAGCGTTCTTGCACCCCACACTGGTCTTGTACGGGTGTACACATACAGGCACTACGCAGGAACGCTCCTCTGCAGTAGTAACAGATACCTAGGCCATTTCCAGGCAAGCAGCTGGCGTACACCTTCCCTGTCATCACCTAGTCAGCACATAACTTAGACTTAACACCCACTACAAACAGAGGGAAGGTTCAGTACAGTCGAACCACCCAGAACTCAGAATGACCCCTACACACTCTGTTTTATCTGCACTGAAGTGGTTCAAGAAGGTTCGATTTGGTTCGATAGAGTGGAACCACTCGAAACTAGAGTATGAGTATCCTACACACCTCGTTCCCCTTGCAGCTCTTGTTTCCGTGGCATAGGAACCAGGGGATCCGGGGCTGGAGCCCCCTATCGGGTTTTTTTTGTTGTTTTCTTATTTTTTTTTTTAGCTACAATATGAAATGGTACAAAATAAGAAAAAAGAAAACAAAATAAAAACAATGGAATAAAGTAGATAGGTCTAGAAGTTCTCATAGGGTTCAGAGTCACTCGGTGGTTGGGGTTATGTCAGGTACACGTATTGGGCGGTGGCGGGAGGACCTGCTGCCTCGAACACACATAATGGCTGAGCGCAGGGTGGCAAAGGATAGTCGGCATCTCAGCCAGGCCATCACGGTTGAATATGGCTTCTGCTTGCGCGTAAAAAATCAGTGAGTGGCTACGCGTTTTTTACACGCACGTGTGGAGCCCCCCTTTTTGTGTCAACACATCTTCCTACGCTTCTTGTTTTGTCTTGTTTTGCCCACGTTTAGAGCTACAACATACATCCAGGCCTTAGCTTGGCTATTTGCCTCACCTTCCAAGCTCCAGAGCCTTTCTTTCGGTGCATGAGCGGGCCGTGCAGAACTTCCCTGCCGCGGGTCCCCATTACTTTGGCCATCGCCCTCCCTTTCTCCGGACTCTAGCGGTGATTGACTGTAGGGGGTGGATTCAGATTGTAGCATCAAAGACAGACGAGAAACGCGAGCTGGGGGAAAGACGGGCTCTGCTGTTTTTTTTATGCGGCCCGCCGAAAACTGCAGCTGCGCCAGGCCAGCTATATTATATGGTCAGCGGCTCAAAAATGCGCGCTAAGGCCCGGCGGTGCCGCAAGGATTGATGAAAGCGTCGATAAGGGTTTGTATCATGCCCCATCGTGCTCCAAGACTTGTTGGACTGTAGCTTGGCCTCCATGTGATACCGTTTGTACCTTGATAGAATAGTGGCTCTCCTCCAGTTTTGCCAAGGGTTTGCACTTTACTTCTTTTGATTTCATTGCAGCTGGTGATTGTTAGCAATGGGCAATTTGTGGTCCAGTACGCTAATAGATTGGTCTACCAACTAGCATCAGTTTGTTGAGAAGGAGCATGCAAAACTTAGCATTTCAAACACCAACGATTTGTGTACATGCATTATTTTGCATTTCAGTATATCTGCCTCTTGTAGCATGCAAAAGGTAGTGTAAATTTGATGCCTGGTTCACTGTCATTGATAACTAGCCATTATTTCGTAAGAATCACATAAGTGTAACAAATGTTGGCACAAGTCTACCCACTCAGGAATATCCCAACATGAATCTCCCATACCAACATATATAATCAGCTGATTCCGACACAGTAGTACATTATATCACATCACAACATCTCTGAGAAACCAGGCAAGTGCAACTCATATATACATCTCCATCAAGTAACAAAAAAAATCCTATATAGTTGAAAGGTCCACTAGAGCAGAATCTGTCTGAAGAATATTATGTCTATTATAGAAACCTAACAGTTGTGTAAGAAGAGACTCAATGATAACTTGAGAGATGGGGGAGGGAGGAAGGAATGAGAGAAAGTAGGAAGAGAGAGAACTAGAGAACTTGCCCTACTGTGGCTTCTACGTTATTACTTACTTCTTCATAACGTGCATGTGTGCATTCACCAAAACAAACATGTAAACAATGACAGTCTCTGAAAAGAGCACTAATGCAATTTTCAGACACTAACACAATCAGTCGGAGGCATAAGTAAGGCGTGAACAACTGCCGGAATATAAAGCAAGTGGATGACTGGATTGACCAAACTACCCCACATCACTGGGTGACATGCAACAGACTCACTATCACCCCACTCACTCTTCTGTGCATACGTAATGTGATGTAATATACAGAATGAGCTGGTTGGGAGGTAAAACGGAGAGTGAAAGTAATATACATGGTTGTCAGACTGGATACAATTGAGAGTTAGTGACTTTGGTTGATGGACGAGCAAGCTGGAGCTGGATACTAATTGTGATGGTTAGTAACAGGCTGGCTTGGGAATATTCACCAGTAAATTCCCAATCTTGTGTGGATCTTTTCCACCTTCATGACCATGTTTTTGTATTGCAGAGGATTGGGAGATAGTCACACTCTCTGAGAGGTGTTTGCATGTGCTTCCCCCCAGGCAGGGTTGACCCACAGGTATGTAATCTACCACCAAAATCTGATGACCTTTGGAATTGGTGGGAGAGTTGAGGAAGACACCACTGTTAGGTGTGAACTGTGTTGTGGTTGTTGGAACTGCCAATGACCATGTTGTGCTGGTTAGTTGACCAACAGAAAATGATTGCAAAATGCCGTGCTTTCAACAATATTATGTGATCAGAGAATGGCTCTATTGTTAATAATTATGTGAACAAATACACAAGATTGGGATGGAAGGGGGGAAAGGGATAAAATGACTACATTATTAACCCTCAACGTGCATGCCAAGCGAGGGTTGGTTTGTAAGTGCATCTGTCTCTGTCTGTCTGTTACCACATTTTCTGTGACTACGTGTAATGAGACAACAAAACAGTGATACCATCGCTACACTGGTTTCATTTTACCGGCATTACAATAACATTGTCACAATAATTCAAATAAACAGCAAAGATGACAAAAAAATGTGAAGAGTCCAAACGAATGATTATGACACAACAAACGATACAGCTGTACATACCGTTAAACACAACAAAGTTACCCACAATCAGTTGAATCAAGCGACCGGGTGTATTCTCACAGAAAATAAGGCAAATCGATATCCCAACAACATAAATGCCCAATTGCTGCCAAATCTGGAACGTGATGTGATGTGCGATGTTATAATGGGTATAAATATTATTAGCTTCCCAGTCTCGGCTTCGGTTAAATAGGCTGAGGTTTCTTTTATAATTAGAGGGTAAGGGGGGAGGGAGGAGCGGTGATGAGTCACAAGTCGTGAAGTTGGGCAAACGACAGGAACGCGAGGGGGCAGCCCGGGAGGCGACACGGCAGTGGACGATTGGCGCTGGGCGTAGTGCAAATGAGGACCGTTCTTGTTCTTCGGTGGAGTGTACTGCCCCTTCTCCATGTTGCTGGTCAGACTACGGAATGGTTGTTGGGGCAAGTCCTCGTCTATGAGTGGGACGAAGAGTCGTGGAATTGGAGGAACGTCATAATTGCTGGGTACGAAGGGTCGTGGAATTGGAGGAACGTCGTAATTGCTGGGTACGAAGGGTCGTGGAATTGGAGGAACGTCATAATTACTGGGTACGAAGGGTCGTGGAATTGGAGGAACGTCATAATTGCTGGGTACGAAGGGTTGTGGAATTGGAGGAACGTCATAATTACTGGGTACGAAGGGTCGTGGAATTGGAGGAACGTCATAATTGCTGGGTACGAAGGGTTGTGGAATTGGAGGAACGTCGTAATTGCTGGGTACGAAGGGTCGTGGAATTGGAGGAACGTCATAATTACTGGGTACGAAGGGTCGTGGAATTGGAGGAACGTCATAATTACTGGGTACGACGGGTTGTGGAATTGTCAGACTTACAAAAGCCGGCAATCTCTTGATGTAGTCCTCGTGAGCTTTATGGAGTCTGCTGTGGCTTGGGTGGCACATAGTTTCGTACTCGTGCTGCTCTTGGCGTGGAAGCATAGTTTCACAATGATGATGAGCATTGCTACTTGCACCGAAATCAGAATCCATCCTGAACTGCCTGCTCCCTGATTCCTCATTCTCCTCGTGGGGGTCGTCATGTGGCGACACGGACTGTCTCGACATTGCTCGCTCGTCAAACATTTCATCATCATTGAACGAGCCCACAGAATGACTGTATGACTGCTGGGACGGAACTCCGAAACTGCCACTCGGGGAGGCCGAACAGCGCGAGCTGTGAGGCACGGGGACCGAACACTGTTTACGGAAGGAGGGGTGTTTATAGAGGAGTACCGGTGGAGGGACGTCTTGGGCCGGGGCCGGGGAGCAAGAGAGAGAGATAGGTGAGTCTTGACCAACCGACACCTCACTGTACTTGAAACTGGAGGAGGACTGGGATCTCTTGTAGGACGACGGGAGACTCGTGTTGACGGAGTAACGTGGTCTGGAAGAGTCGAATATGTCTCTGGTTGGGATGGACACTGCCTTACCATCTCCCTCGAAGAGGAATCTGAGGGGAAGAGAGAGAGAGAGGCGAGGTAAATCCAGAGACAACTACAGTGAGCTTGCTATATCACCAATGGGATAATAAGAGAGGGTCCCCCATACTAGTAAGGTGTTCTCATTTCAGGAGTGCAAGAGCTGTTCTGGGGAAAGAAACATGTCCAGGAAGATAGAACAAACCCCTCATGTGCGAAATAGAGCATACAGGGGAACAGAGCCTACAAAGCCAACAGTATAATAGAAGTATCCACTGAGGTTGGAAACTGGTGCCATGTTTACCAACTACACTACCTAACCAGCTATACAGTAAACAGTGCACAGAGCAGGTACACTTGGAGCTGTCAAGTAAGTCCCATCCAGCCACAAGCACAACTGCTACACAGTGGAACCCTCTTAGTCTGGACCCATGGGAAGTATCCATATTAGTGAGGTGTCTATTTCAGGGGTTAGCCTTGAATTATCATTCTAGCTTGCAAATGTTCTGACACCTGGGAACTCTTTGGTCAATCTTGAGGTGTTTGAAAGCTGTCAATCTTGTAAAATACAGACACATAGGAAACAACTTCTTCTAATGTATAAAACCTGCCACAACTGTAACACATACACTTATCCTCTGGAACCACAAAACTAAGTTAAACCCACCTGTGGAGAGTTTCTCTGAGAGGGTAAGCCTCTTTGGGCCCTGCATACATCCACACCAGCCCCGGCCCTCCCTGGCACCTCTGCCCTATCTCGATGAACACGAGGTTCCACGTCATTCCCGTTCTGCGCATCTTGTCTCGGTCCCATGCGACGATCGGTTTCCCCACGTCGGACTGACTCACGATCTGGAGCTGTCCCACACTCTGATTAGGGATGCCACCTCTGAGAAGGAGAATGTGGACCCCTAGCATATTGCATCTGGAGCCCACCTCCTCTGGCATTATGTACACTGTCCATGCTGAATCTGGGACAACAGAGGAGAGAGGAGAGAGGGAGGGAAGAAGGGTAAGGAAGAAGGGAGAGGAAGGAGGAGGTGGGTGACAGAGGCCTGCAATAGCAAGGATATTGGCACGCCTGGTTATTGTTAGAGGCCAGGATTCAAGGGAAATTGGCTCCGTGATCTAATATACCTCTCCCCATCACACCTAGTAAAAATAGCCTGAGTTACATGTAGTGAAAGGTCATTCACCAACTCCTTAGAGAGACATGTAAACAAACTGTGAGTCCTGGATCTGCTTTAGGGGGGAGTTCAGTATGGGAGGGTTGTTTGGGGGTGAGGGGGAGATAGGGAGACTACCACTGTAACTCTAGCAAAATAATCATAGTGTGAATTATACCTGCTCCGTGGGACTTGGGGTCCACTTTGTACCGGAATCCATCGCTGATTGGGTTGGGCTCCTCTGGGATGACAGAGTACGGAAACATCGTCAGTAGCGTGAGAAGGCTCGGCCAGTGGACTCCACTCTCCGATCTGAACTCGTTGACTTTATTGGAATGGATCACCAGGAACAGAGTTCCACCTGACCGTGGCGACCCCTGGGAACGGATGGGTGACGAGTAGGTCAGTTCCTTGATCTTTGCACCCACGAGCTGGATTATCTCCATGGGTTTCTTGTCGCCGGCTCGCTCAGCGTTCTCGTGGTTGTCATACAGGGCCATGCAGGCAGAGTGCAGTTTCCCGTCGTTCTCGCTCCCACAAAACACAACGACTGCTCTCCTCTGTGTGAGATAGATACAGATATGACATGGTGGGACAGTTTAAAAAGAAGCATCATGAAAATGGGCTCAACCTACAACACACAGCATTGAAAGCGAAAATTTAGCGTTCTTGCGCCCCACATTGGTCTTGTACGGGTGTACAAATACAGGAACCACGCAGGAACGCTTCTAGTAACAGATACCTACGCAAGCCATTTCCAGGCAAGCAGCTGGCGAAGGCCTTCCCCGTCGTCACCTAGTCAGCACAACAACCACGTTCAGAGCTACAACATACATCCAGGCAGAATGTACGCCTTAGCTTGGCTATTTGCCTCACCTTCCAAGCTCCCGAGCCCTTTTGAAAGAGCGGGCCTCGCATAACTACTTTGGCCATCGCCATCTCTTTCTCCGGACTCTATCGGTGATTGACTGCAGCAACACAAACGGGGATGAGGGGGGCATTCGTTCGTACAGACGAAACGCGGTCGTTGTTTATGCGGCCCGCGCCCGCCAAACTGCTACAAAATGCGCGCGAAGGCCCGCCGTCGCAAGATTGATGAAAGCGTCGATAAGGGGTTTGTATCGTGGTCATGCTCGCCTTACCTTGGCCACTCATCCTCTCACTAACAACTGAAAGATTCACTTCACTGCTCTATCGTGCTCACCAAGACTTGTTGGACTGTTGTATTATACCTTGTTAGAATAGTGGCACTCCTCCAGTTTTGCCAAGGGTTTGCACTTTACTTTCATTGCAGCTGGTGGTTGCTAGCAATGGGCAATTTGTGGTAATAGATTGGTCTACCAACTAGCATTATGTTTCTCAGTTTGTTGAGAAGGAGCATGCAAAACTTAGCATTTCAAACACCAACAATTTGTGTACATGCTGCATTTCAGTATATCTGCCCCCAAAAGGCAGTGTAAAATTGATGCCTGGTTTTCTATGTACATTGTCATTGATAACTAGCCATTATTACGTAAGAAGCACAAAATGTTGGCATAAGTGTAAGCAACAAGTCAGCCCCACTCTTCCTCCTCCTATATGTGCTTGCGTAGGTATCTGTTACTAGAAGCGTTCCTGCGTGGTTCCTGTATTTGTACACCCGTACAAGACCAATGTGGGGCGCAAGAACGCTAAATTTTCGCTTTCAATGCTGTGTGTTGTAGGTTGAGCCCATTTTCATGATGCTTCTTAGTATCCTATGGGGTGCCATCTGTGTCAAAATTTAAAAAAAATCTCCCATATACAAATGAAGTGCTATATGGAGTGCTGCATACATATATGACACTCTTCCATTTACATAGGCAACTCACCGTATCCATATGTAGGGCTTCCTATATATCCACCAGTAAGAAGTGCTACAAATGTATATGGATACTCCTTATACATATAGCGCACTCCATATACATACACCCTACTGCATATGATATGGAATCTTCCACTTGTACAGATCATGCTCTATTTGCATATCGAGCATTGCTTATGTATACAGTGTGGTATCTGAGTCCTTCTCTACGAAGTAGACTCTGCGCATGCGCACAATACCGGACACACTGTATACATAAGCAATGCTCGATATGCAAATAGAGCATGATCTGTACAAGTGGAAGATTCCATATCATATGCAGTAGGGTGTATGTATATGGAGTGCGCTATATGTATAAGGAGTATCCATATACATTTGTAGCACTTCTTATTGGTGGATATATAGGAAGCCCTACATATGGATACAGTGAGTTGCCTATGTAAATGGAAGAGTGACATATATGTATGCAGCAATCCATATACTTCATTTGTATATGGGAGATTTTTTAAAATTTTGACACAGATGGCACCCCATAGGATACTAATTGTGATGGTTAGTAACAGGCTGGCTTGGGAATATTCACCAGTAAATTCCCAATCTTGTGTGGATCTTTTCCACCTTCATGACCATGTTTTGGGAGATAGTCACACTCTCTGAGAGGTGTTTGCATGTGCTTCCCAGGCAGGGTTGACCCACAGGTATGTAATCTACCACTAAAATCTGATGACCTTAGTGTATAATATAGCTGGTGGGAGAGTTGAACACAACACCACTGTTAGGTGTTGTGGTTGTTGGAACTGCCAATGACCATGTTGTGCTGGTTAGTTGACCAACAGAAAATGAATCTGACAGCCAGCCACTGCATCATGAAAAAACTTGTAAACACAATGGAAGGATTTGTAGTTCCATCTTTGCAAGGATGTTTTTTGCTCCCTTCAAGCAGAGCTGCCAACTCCATACAATAAAAATTGGATTAGTCATACTGTGCGTGTGTGCTTCATTATATCGGACAGAAAATTTCCCTGTTGCAACGCACTAGGCAGTAAGCAAAGAACTGGAAGTAAAACACTTTGCACATTTTGCTAACAATCAAGGGAAGAAGTACCAACAATCATGATAAGAGAAGCAATGTGGGTGATTGGTAATGAACTGAAATGGGTGTACAAGAGCACCAAAAATGAGTGTGTGCTGTCTATATCACGGCAAGAAAACAATGTGGGTGGGGGAGGGGTGAAGGTGGCGGGTGGTGTTATGGTCTTTGGGTCTCTGTAAACCCATTCAGTCTCGCTAGACTACTCGCAGGACACAAACGTTTATACTCACCAGTCGAAGAATCCATACTCGTGAGCTTGCGCGAACCATACACAATTATTGTGTGAGGACATTCCTGTTCACAAAAAATGTCATGCGCAGGGTTCGCAAATCTGTGCGTGGCGGAAAGCTCAGCGTAACTTCACCTGTGGCCCCAAGCGCAGAGAGCTAGAAATGGAAGAGTTGTTTCAGACACGAAGCGAGAGGAGGGAACGAGGGTGTGGTTGGTGTAGTCGACGCGGGGTACAAGTATTTTTCTGCCTCCTACTCCTCGATTGCTGCCGTTGCTCACCCAGCACCTGCGAGAACGCTGTGTGTCCCTCTCCCCCCACCATGACCACTGGACTCGTACAAACTGTTGAGTGGCAGCAGGGTAAGTCTCAGTGCAGTAGTACAACAGCAAAACCCCTACCTCCTATCTCCCACACACAGTCCTCTTATTGCATTGCAGCTGCACTACAGGTATAGCTGGGAGACACATGTGATTACAATTTTATTTTGCAGGTGTAAGTCCGAGCCTCTTCTCCCTTACTCCCACCTCCTCTCCCCCCACTATGACCACTGGACTCACACAAACAGTTGAGCGGCAGCAGGGTAAGTCTCAGTGTGCAGTAGTACAACAGCAAACCCCTATGTACCTACTGTATCTCCTACACATAGTCCTCTTATTGCATTGCAGCTGCACTACAGGTACATATAGCTGGAGAAACATGTATTTACAATTTTATTTTGCAGGTGTACACTTGCACTTCATATTTGATTTTTGCAGCATCCTCCATTACTACTGATGGCCCTACAGTTCACATTAGTCAGAGCGAGATGACTCAAGTAGTTACTATGATTGGTAAGCTGCCAAGATTGTGTGTTTCAGACCTTTGCTGGTTTAGTCAACATATTCTCTAGGGCTATTTTGTGTCCTCAACCTACCTAGCTAACCCTCACCTACATAGAACTAACCTGACCCATTCTTACTTATCTCTAGGAGTGTTAGGTGGTGTTCTGGTAGTTCTACTGTTGGTTGCAGTGATATGTGTGCCTGTGGTGCTGGGACTGAGACGCAAAGGCAGATCCATTGCTAGTAACCCCATCACTAGCACAGGTGAGTGAAGTGTGTGGGGCCTTTGCTGAGAATGTAGCTGCTGACTTGCATAGCCACTCCTAGCCACTGCATCACATGCATGATGTCATTAGCGAGCAAAGCGAGCCTACCTAGTGGCCAATGGGCGACTTTTCCCTATATATGGAGGGTGATGTGGCCCACCGTAATGTTCTATGAAAGAAACGAAATTTCGCAATAGTCTTGTTCGCTAATGACTTGTCAGGCACTATTGAGATTCTGTTTGTGTATGTCTGTATAGTATTGCTCCAAAATCTCTTCCTTCCAGGGGTCACAGAAGACTCTTATAAGTAAGTTGATACGCATTGTGAAAGTTGGCAGTATTATTATACTGTAGTATGTGGCAAGCCCTAATTTACTTTCGTAACCAATAAGTGAAACAGAATTGAAACTTATTCACATGAAAAGTATGTGTAGCATACTAGCCGAGAATAGCAAGAGAGGAGAGAAAATAACGTGTGGCTCTCATTTTCCTGTGCTTTCTTACCCAAAATGTAATTTTGTTGCAGTCAAGTAGCACTTGGTGGTTCTGGACAGTTTGTTTCAGATGTGGTAATGATTGTGTATCACTGCCGTCCATCACACTAGACCACCACCACCACCACCAGAAGAACTGGAACCGGAGGAACTGGAGAGCAAGAAGAGGGAGAGAGAGGAGAATGCCAGATCAGCTGGAGCCATCAATCCTCACACAGTGAGTGGTTGGATATCTGTCCCTTATCATATTAGTACATCTTAGCTGTTGACTGTTGATTGGACGGAGGAAGAAAGAAAAAAGAAAAAAGCTTGTTAGCCCCTTCCATTTGTCATCTGCTGGTAGTATATAGTTGATGCCGTCCTATATATGTTGGTCACAGAAATGTGGGTCCCCCTTCCCCCTGGGCCTCGCCTATATAGTTATATGCACCTGTAATCACAATAAAGTACGTGGGATTTCAGTGTTTGTATGTACATACACTTGTTTTTTCCTGTTTAACACCTCTCTGTGCCAGTTTAACAACATTATTTCAGCGGTGCAAATTTTCTGATAAACCCTCGCCGCGCATGTACAGCCAGGGTTACGGTACTTGGTCTGTGTGTCTGTTTGTGTGTGTGTCTACGATTATTCTCGCACTACAGACTACGAGACGGCTTATGAGTGATACCAACAGCTTCAGTGAGCTTTAGCGCTGCAAGAACATCAAAAATAATGTGGCAATTTTGCTGAAACGACTGCCTTCTAGAGCAAGAAACTGGCACGGCCGTGGAAAGCGTTGCATGGCCCAGCGGTGGGCATGTGTATATTAACTGGCTTTGGGCTTTGGCTTACCTCAATTATTTTTAGCCACCGCTAAGGGATGAAGTTACTCGGAGGACGAGTGTGCAGTTCCGTGTTGCTCTAAACGCTCCCTACTGTGTCGCAGCCTGTCGCGAAAGTGCTTAGCTATGTCACGGGTATACAGGTATACTGTGGCCTGCTATTGTGCATAGCACAATTGTTGCGAGTGTTTGCCATGTAAAAGTGACTATTCATGATTGTATGTATGTACATGGCTGTCAACATTTTTATCTCTGTAGACTATATATGTATACCCCCACACTCTATAGTCACAGGGCTTCCCAGAGGAAGCAGAGTCAAAGGAAGGAGAGCCAGAGAAAGCAGAGTCAAAGGAAGGAGAGCCAGAGGAACCAGAGTCAAAGGAAGGAGAGCCAGAGGAACCAGAGTCAAAGGAAGGAGAGCCAGAGGAACCAGAGTCAAAGGAAGGAGAGCCAGAGGAACCAGAGTGCTGCACAATTTTTGCGAGTGTTTGCCATGTAAAAGTGACTATTCATGATTGTATGTATGTACATGGCTGTCAACATTTTTATCTCTGTAGACTATATATGTATCCCCCCCACACTCTATAGTCATAGGGCTTCCCAGAGGAAGCAGAGTCAAAGGAAGGAGAGCCAGAGAATGCAGAGTCAAAGGAAGGAGAGCCAGAGGAACCAGAGTCAAAGGAAGGAGAGCCAGAGGAACCAGAGTCAAAGGAAGGAGAGCCAGAGGAACCAGAGTGCTGCACAATTTTTGCGAGTGTTTGCCATGTAAAAGTGACTATTCATGATTGTATGTATGTACATAGCTGTCAACATTTTGATCTCTGTAGACTATGTATCACCCCCCCCCCTCTATAGTCACAGGGCTTCCCAGAGGAGAGCCGGAGAAAGCAGAGTCAAAGGAAGGAGAGCCGGAGAAAGCAGAGTTAGAGGAAGGAGAGCCTGTTCATTCCCCAGTACAGGTGAGCTTCACCAATGGGGTATATAGCTTCAGGGTGGGCTTTTCTCACACTGTCCCATGGCATTGTTGTTCCTCCCAGTGCCCATACACAAGGAAATGTGAATTAAAAAACTGACCTTCCCCTTACCATGGCAGCAATTTAGCTCTGCATTTATAACACACTCCTATATAGCTGTTAGCATACAAAGTGTGAAATTGTCCCAGCAAATGACATACTTCCAAAGTAGTTTAAATTTGTGGGTGACACACTGTAGTGTGTAGTTTGTGTTGTTTTGCCTCACCGTGAAAGTGTGTAGTTGTCCCAGCATAATTATCACACAATCATGTGTTGAATGTACCTACTTGTAATATCCACATGCAATTACAAGACACTTTGAGACCGCCACATATGATTAAGTGGTGTCAAATGCCATTACATAGTACCTTTCTCGTTGCAGGCACGATTAAATTTGATCACTATGACCAAAGAACTTGTAGCGTCACCTTGAGACCTCACCATGATTGTATGGGACTTTGATCACTTTATAGCTACAAGTAAATAATAAAATCCTAGTGTCAGCATGCTCACAATCTGTTCATTATCATATCCCATCCATATCTTGTCTCTTTTCCTTTTTATGTCATGCTATAGGGCTAACTGCTAATTGTACCACAAGCACAATAGGTGGGCAACAAACACTTGTTCAGGCTGGCTTGAAGGTAACCTGATACCAACAGGCCTATAATACCCCTAAATAGTACAAACCTACACCTCACTCCAAGTTAGGTTTGATTGGCGCAGTCACCAAGAACACATTTTAACAGCAGCAGAGTGGAGAAAACGAAAGGGTAGAGTTGAATTAGCACTACCTGAAGTACTTCGAGTGTGGTTAAGTAAAGTGGGTAATAGTTTGGAGAGCAGACCTGCAAAATTACTAGGTTCTGGTATTTTCGTATCTTCATGTGTAAGGGGTAAAGAAGAGGTAATGTAAGATACAACAGCACTTGCCCACATTCAATATTGGTGGGATATGACACCACAAATATTTATGAACGGTTCTCTTTCCAAATTTAGGAGGGCAGTATACCTGTAATGCTAATATATACCAAATGTATGTGTAACCCTACTCACCCTCCTCTCCCCCTTCCCTTCCAACCACCCACCACCCACCCCCACCCCCTTCTCTCTCTTTCCAAACATTCCAGCCCACATTACATATCCCCACTGGAGACACACACCTGAAGGAGGTTATATAGTGTCAGTTCATGCTAGATCAGACTGCAAAACTAAGTCTTCTTGCATGCACATAATCGCTCAACTACCAACTTTGTTTTCTTGAAATCTATATCGTTGAAAAGTAGACATGCTGTGTAGATAACAATGAAAACTTGTGTTGTCCAAGACTGTCCAGATGTGATGCACCAGTCTTAGTTGCAGCCGATGGCCATCCACATGTCTTCTGAGCCACAGCTGTACGGATGCTGCGGCGGTGGCGATACTCCGAGAGGGGAGAGTGGACCTCCAATTGAGGCAGGGGCTGCCCCACATGAGTGCGTGAGGTGCCCAGCCATTTCTGGAGAATAGACGAGGGATGAAGGAGGAGGAGGAAGAGTGGGGACACTTTCACTAGGGAGAGAGGAGAGACCTGGGCTGCTCATTACAGGAGGGGTATCAGCTCCAGAGTTGTAGCTGAAGTATGCTGGTGGCAAGTTGTCCGGAGCGACTTCAGTGTACGTCGGAACAATCTCTTCTTGAAAGAAGCCGTCGGCTTGCTGGTGCAGGTCAGCAGGCTCAACTTCAGTGGATGTCAGAACAATCTCTTCTTGAAAGAAGCCGTCGGCTTGCTGGTGCAGGTCAGCAGGCTCAACTTCAGTGGATGTCAGAACAATCTCTTCTTGAAAGAAGCCGTCGGCTTGCTGGTGCAGCTCAGCAGGCTCGACTTCCAGCCGCTCGTCGCAGTAGAGGTTGATCTGCGGGGGTGGTGGTGGAAGAGGAGGGGGGCTGGGCTCGACGCCAACGGCCCCCGCTTCTTGGGTGGTTGTCTGCTCTCTGATATGGCGAATGGCGGCCGCGAGCGTTCGCACCTTGCTAAAATGACCGGAGGGGCCTCTTTCGACCCGCACCACCGCGCCGAGAGCTTCGTAGGCCTCCCGGAGGTTCTTCACTCTCTCCTTTTCTCTGTCGTTTTTCTGTTTCTTTTTGGCTGCGCTTGGTCCACCTCTGTTCACTGGGACTCTGTCCAGGGGTTGCCGTTGACCTCCGCCTCTGCGTCGAGCTCGCCGATACCTGCCGCGGCCGCCACGAGTCCGCCGCGTCTCCGCCTGAGGCAGACACCAGTCTGCGTCTTCTTGTCCGCCGCATACAGAAGTACTTGAAGCGCCGATACTTCTCTCTGTGTCGGAGAGCGGAGATCTCGAGGAGGAAAAAGAAGAGAAAGAAGAATAGGAAAACGCGGCAAGACTGCTGCCGATACCGCTGCTCGATCCGCAGTCAGCCGACGACGACTGAAGACTTGCAGCGGCGGCAGAGTAGAATGAGGTGGCAGCTGACATGCCGCTCTTGTACGCTCGAGGTTGCGCATGCGCAGTTCGGTATTTTCACCGTTTTTCTACTCACCCTTACCCCCCTTCCCCTCCCACCCACCCCCACCCTCTTTCCAAAGCGATCCTGTCGTGGTTTCAGAAGTGTTGTGATATTGAGGTGTCATGATCTTAGCAGAATTAGTAACAGTGTACTACACATTTTAGCAGCAAGCTCAGACTTTATACACCAGCCTACAAGGGAAGAACTCCTAAACCTGGCAATAGCCCAGGGAAGAGAGGTGCCACACCTGCAGGCAGGAGGGGAGAGGCCACAGGATAACTGGTGATTATTGTGTGGGGTACTCCTGTACCGGTGCTTGAATGGCCATAGCAATTTCTCCAACTTCATCAGGTAGTGTGATACACTGTGCCAAGTTTCTAGTTGTAGGAGAGGCCTGTAACTGAATGGGACAAGCACAATCGTTCTATTATGAGCATCATACATCACAGAATGTACAGACTAATGGTAAACATGCACCATGAGGCAGTCACAGCATAGTTTGGGATTCAAGCCCCACCTATTTCTGTAGTCCTGGGTGGCCAGTGTGCATAAAAACCACCATATAAATGACATACCAATCTGCCTTTGGGAGAGATGAAAGGAAAGCACCTTCAGTGGTGTGGTATA